GGGGGGGCCCTGGCTGTCCCTCTGGGGAGGGTGTTGGGCGGGTGGCTGTCCCAGGTGGAGTTCCAGGAAGTGCAGCTCTGGAGGAGGAGGAGGAGGGGCCCGGGAGCCCCGAGCCCTGGCTGCGGGGGAGGGGCCTGGGAAGCCTGCCCGGGACCCCCCGGGGCGGGACTCCACACGGAGCAGCTTCCTCTGTGCTTGGATGGCACCATGGGCCACTGGCAGGAGGGCCCGCCGGGCGGGCGCACTCTCACAGAGACACCTTCCCCGGAGGTCCCTTTCCCTCTCGCTCCCCAGGGCTGCTGGAGAGACCGGCGCTCCCACCGCAAGCAGCCGCCGACATTGCCAGCTACAAGGTCTTTGTGTCCGGGAGGAGCGCGGTGGGCAAGACAGCTCTGGTGGCCTCCCTCGGGGGCCTGCAGGTGCCCTCCGCACACCACGAGACAACAGGTGAGGGCTGCAGGGGACCGGGGGGGGGGGCCGGCCCAGCAGCGGGAGGCCTGTCAGATGGGACACTGGTTGGAGGAGAGACAAGGGGAAACCTCTGAAGGGCTGTGCAAGGTCGGGGAAGTGCAGAGACCTCCCTTTGCTGAAGGCCAAGACTGGAACTGAAAGGCCATAAGGGGGGGGGGGGGGGGGGGAGGGGAGATACTGTGCAGCACAGAAGAAGCAGAGAAGGGAGGCAGAGAAGACAAAGAGATTCTTTCCTGCATTCTGGGTTGTTTGTGGTGTCATTCGTGTACTGGGTTTTCAAAATGCACAGTAGGGCAAATCCCGTATTTAATTGGGCTGCATACTGTGCAGACTGCTGGATTCGCAGAATCCTTCCTCAGACACTTGTGCCCAGTGAGGCATCCTGTGACGCTCCGAAACATACATACTTCTGCACCAACCGAAAGGATTCCCATGCAAAGCCATTTCAAGTATACTGTATGTATCTCATGTCATTTGGAGCCGATGGAATCACTGCTGTTTGTTGACTGGCACCTTGCTTTCAAGCACCTCTGAAATGCTGGGCTTCAGAAGCCCGCCTTTTTAGCACTCCCTGGACATCCGAGGTGGTGCCCAGGCAGGCGTTCAGGCTCTGTGAAGTGCTTGTGTTGCAGGGATCCAGACGACGACGGTGTATTGGCCAGCCAAGCTGCGTGAGAGCAGCAGACCGCTTTTCTTCAAGTTCACCTTCTGGGACTGTGGGGAGTCTGTGCTGAAGAAGTTTGATCACATTCTGCCGGTGAGGGAGGGGGGCAGTGAGAGGCTCCCAACGGCACCACGAGGGACAGGCAGGGGACCCGAATCAGGGGCCCTTCTCACAATGGATCCTCTTTGCTCTCCAACAACCCCCAGGCCTGCACCAAGAAAGTGGATGGCTTTCTCCTTCTGTTCTCCTTCACCGACCGGGCCTCTTTTGATGACTTGCCAGGCCAGATCTCTCGTGTGACAGAGGGAGCCAAGGCGGCTGTCAGAATAGTAGTTGGCACCAAATATCCTTTGATACTCGGGGGGGGGGGCATTCGACCTATGCTCAAAGACACTGTTCTTAAACATTTTATTTTTAAAGTATTTGGTCGAAGCCAGCTTCCTGTGTTCCTACGGCTTGGCATCCTCTTCCTTGACTCTCCTCCAGGTTTGACCAGTTTGCGCACACCGATGTCACAGAGCGTGATGTAGCCGCCTTCTGCCACACTTGGGGCCTGCCGGTGCTGCGAGCAAAGAGCGTCAGCTCCCCAGACGGCTGTGCTGGACTGTTGGACGTGGCTCACCTCCTGAACGGGCTGGCCGAGCACCTCTGGCGGCAGGACCAGTGGGCGGCGGGCCTCCTCCCCCCCAGCCCTGGCTCCAAAGACCTGGCTCTCCCTGCCCTCGCGGGCAGATCGGCAGACAGTTCCTAGAACAGCCAGTGGGCAGTCTGGATGGGCTGGCCTGAGGCACTACCTCCTTTAGGAGGTGGTGCCTGAGGACAGGAAGGGTTGCCATGGTGACCTGGCTCGAGGGCACCAAAATGGAGAGTAAGGGGGGGTGCTGGTAGGACCGTGGCTGGAAAAGAAGGTCTCGTTCTCACACTTTCTGTGACGTGCCTTAGAATCTGGGCATCTCCACACCTCCCGCTTCCCGAGCTGCAGAGCAGTGGTGTCACAGTCTGCAACCGATGGCAAGAGACGTGGGCTGTGTCCTCTCTCTAGGTTCCTTCCGTCCCCTTGGCTTTGGGACATGCCTGTCCGGGTGGGTGGGTGCTAGTGTTCAGGGTGACCAAGGCATAACGTTGCCTTGGTAACAGTGCCACCAGGCGGACCCCCCAACAGCCCTGACCTCCCGGCCCCCGCAGCACCTCCAGCAGCTGCCGCCCCTTGGCTTCTGGGCATCGCTCCCTCTCCCCCAGGGGACAAAAGGGGAGCCTGTGGTAAGGGTGTTCACCCCCCCCCCATGCAGACTGCTCTGCCAGGACGCCTCCAAAGAGAGAGGCAGGCAGGTGCCACCACGTGAGGCCTCAGTGGCGGTGAGCGAGGGAGGGGGGCGCCGCCGTGGCTGGAGCTCAGGGAGACCAGAGCCTGGGTGCCGCTCCTGAAGCCACGCCGCCCTCTGGCCTCTGGGGGGTCCCTCTTCAAGGGGCCTTGCCCTCCCCCACTGGAGGGAGTGTTCGACCCCGCCTGTAAATTGGCTGCCACCACTCTCATGGAGTACGTTTTGTGTTTCAGTGGCACCCTTGTTGCTGGGCGGCCTGTTGAAGCAGCATGCTGAGGCTACTGCTGGGCTCCTTTGCCTGACCTGGCCGACGGACGGACGGACGGACTGCCGTAGGGGGCTGGCTGAAGCACCTGCGAGAGCAGCGAGGGCGGAGTTCTTGGCAGCCGGAGAGGCCAGAGGGAAGGGCCCCCTCTGGGGCCAAGTCTTCCTTGCAGGCTGAGGGGGGCTGGGGACAGGCACGCGTTCTGGGCCGCGGCCTGAAGAGAGGTGGCAGGCTGGCACCGGTCCCTCACAGCCGCCTGGCATGCTCCTGGGCCCCCTGCAGGCTCCATAGTGGCTCCAGGGAAGCCTGTCTTGGAGCAGCTGCCAGGGCCTACGTTCCCCAGGTACCCCCAGGACCCCGTGATCGGGCAGTGGGATTTCGGAGGGGAGACCACGCCAGCGAGGAGCAGAGGGCGGTGCCTGGGAAGAAGGGCTGGAAGGCCTTGCCCAGAGCGGGAGGGGGCTCTGGGCTGGTGCGGCACCCCCCCCGGGGGGGGGGGGGGGGCGGCCTGAGACCAGGTGCCTGGGGAAGGCCAGGGGACCGCACACTCAGATGCGCAGAGAGACTCCTCATTCTGCTGGCTGGCCTACCTTTACTGTGCTCATTTCCCCTACATGTTTCTGAACTACAGTTGTTCTTAAACCGCTTCAATAAAAGTAGCTCATTACCCTGCCTGGGTCCTCGTGCCTCATTCGGTCACTTATAAGGGGAATCTTGCTGGAAAAGGAGTGTCTAAAGGGGAAGGGCTGGTGCTCCGGGCCCTCCCGAGGAGACCCATACCAGAGTGGTGGCAGCCATTAGAGAAAGAATGCAACTTTAAATGTGTTCTCAAAGTCCCCCCCCCCCCCCAATTCTGCTATTGGGAAGGGGGTTTTTTTTTTTTATATATTGAAAAATGATATTTAGCAGAGATAAAATAGTCCAGCAGAGCCAGAGTAAAATAATTCAGACTGAGAGTCCATGTGTGATTAAAATATAAAGTTTTTACTAAATTCTAGCATGGAGAAGGGTAACTGGGATGAAAATAACAACAGAGCAAAATCGGCTACATCTTTACTCTACAAAGACAAAACTAGAAGACAGAGATTATGGCTACTCTTCTTCTTCAGAACACCAAACAAAGAAGGGAAGAGAAGCCATAAAATGGTAATATACCTTGACACTTTAGTCCCAATCAAATCCCTAGATCAGGGAGAAAATTCCCAGGCTTTCTACATCTAAAGATGTTGGGTATTACACGTTAAAAACACTCAGTATATATGGGGTTAAATGTTTGTTTGTGTTGTCACAGGAAGTCACATGTGTTTTATTTAGCCAATGCTTGTTAGATGCTAGGAGCCCGGGAAAATTCTTCCTGATCTAGGAGTTTCATTGGAAGCAAAGTGTCAAAGTGTCTTAGCATTTTATGGCTCCTCTTCCTCTCTTTGTTTGCTGTTCTCAAGAAGAAGTACAGAAGCCATTATCACTTCTCTTCTAGTCTAGTCATTGTAGTGTAAAGATGTAGCTGTTTAGCTCTGTTGTTATTTTCATCCCCGTTACCCTTTCCCTATGCTAGAATGTAGTAAAAACTTTCTATTTTAAACACACATGGACTCTGGGTCTGAATTATTTTACTCTGGCATTGTTAAACTATTTTATCTCTGCTGAATTACAAGTTTTATTTTTCAAAACCCCAACATAAGAACATTGGTTACATGAGAAACATGTGACTTCCTGTGAGTAACATAAACAAACATTTAACCCCAGATATACTGAGTGTTTTCAACTTGTAATACCCAACAATTTATTTCCAGTTTCTGTCTCTTTCTCTCCTCCCTTCCCATCTAAAGTTAAATGTGTTCTCCAAGCCCTGCCAGCGTGCCCCCCGTCCTCTTTTCTTTCTCCCTTTCTCCATCCCTTCCTTCTTCCCTCTCTCTCTCCCTGCCTTCCTTTCTCATCCCTCCCCCATCTATTTGCTTCTATCTTTCTCTTTCCATCTCTTTTCATTTTTTCTTTCCACCTCTTTCTCTCTGTCTCTCTTAGACAAATAAATATCATTGGACAAATAAATATTATCAATATCTGTTTTTACCCTTTGTTTTTATTTTTGGCAGTTTCATTTAATGTTAATAAAAAGTAAATTTACATATTTTTCAATAAAATTGTGTGTATAATATTTGTTTATGTCTTGCGGCTCTCAAATATCTGATGTTTATGTGGCTCTTATGTTAAGCAAGTTTGGCTACCCCTGATATAGGCAGAGGGTGAACAGCAAATTAGCACACAACATTATTCATTAAAACAACTTCATTGCGTTGTCTGCTAATTTGCTGCTCACCCTCTGCCTATGTGTATGGACTGTTAATTTCCATTTCAATGTTTCTGAGAAAGTGTGTGCACACAAAAGCTCACACCTTGAATAAAACTTTGTTGGTCTTAAAGGTGCCACTGGACTCAGCACGGCTGCCCACCTGGATTTATTTTCTTTACGTTAGTTCTAGTCTGCCTCTGTGGAAACTCAGCAGCGAGATCAACAGGACAGGACTTCCATTAACTAATGTAACAGGATGAGGATTGTACGTAGGAGGCTCACACATGTAGCAATGGATAGTGGGTGCTGTAGACCACAGTATAGCCTCCGGTCCCTGTTCCTCTATGAAAGCATCTTCCTGAACCATTCTGATGTAGACCTATTGCCTCGGTCAAGATGCCCTGAATAATTCAGTGTGCAGAATGTCAGAAAAGGGGGAGCCTTCCTGGCCTCTGGTAGGAGGTTCCACAAAGCAGGGGTGGGGGGACGTGTGTGGGCAGTTACTGATATTGCCCATTTGCGGGGTGGCACATGCAGAAGGCCCTGCTCAGATGAACAAATCTGTCAAGGAGGATCGAATCAGGAGAGGCAGTCCAGGATGTGAAAGTCCGTGGCCATGGAGGACTTTGCGGGCCATAGCCAGAATTGTGAGAGCCGGACATGGTAACCCATCGGCAGTCAATGGAGTGACCGCAGAATCGGAGTAACGTCTGCATGTCCTGCCTACTCCAAGTGGGCTTCAGGGGCAGACCCTGAACTCGAACCACCTCGTCTGGGCGTCCCTGTGGGCCGGATCCAGGGCGGGGGCCAGATGGGCGGAGCCAAAGCCAGGGGGACATCCCCCGGGCCGCATGAGGTTCGAGGAAAGCCTTTCTTGCCGGCGCCCTAGTCACTCACTAGCATTGCTCCAGTGCAACCCCTCTCGGGTCTTGGGGGAGTCGGCAAGGGTCCCCTCGGAAAGCGGGGAGTGGGGCGGGACATAACGTCCTCTAGGGCCTGGGGCGCCGTGCTCCCTCTCAGCCAGGCAGGGGCGCGACAAGAAGGCCCCCGTTCGTTCCCCCCCCCCCCCCCCTCCGCC